GACGTCGCCCACCGCCAGCGAAGCCCCGGACGCGGCGCGACGCGGGCTCCGCCGAGGGACGGGCTGCTGGAGCACGAGAACGACATGATGCTTCAGTCTCAGGTGTTGACTTTATTGCAAAGTGACATCAGTAAGAAGGGTCTTTTCACGCCACCCCTACCGACCTAAGGAGAACATCCCTCTACGAGCAACACACACGCGAGCCCATACGGGACCACAGAGAAGACACGCCATACAGCCCGCCCTGTCCAGGCTCGTCCCCTCGTGTGCCACCCCAAGGGCGGGCAGGAGCCTCCGCTTCACCCGTCCCTCACGCTTCGAGAAGGCCTCCGTCACTCCAGGTGAGGGAACGTTTACAAGGAGGGGAAAAAAAGAAAACAGAAGAACCACAAACATCCCTAAACTAAGGAGAACTCAAGTTTGTCCCAGACGTCGATGCTGAAAGACACTTTCTTTGGTTGCAAGATTGCAGAGAGCTTATACCGCAAAGGGAACTCAGGTACACGATGCTATTTTGAAAAGACAAGGAATTCACTATTATTATTTTTTGGACCCCTGTTCATAATTTATTCTGTCATTGCAAAAAGAAAGTCCTTTTAGATATCTTTATACTTTAAACACTAGGAAAGTTAAGATAGATCTTTTTATATATATATTTATATATATATTTATATATGTACATACACATATATACACAATGATGCATTTAAAATTTACTTTTTCCTTGGTGATTACAATATCATTCTCTAAATCACTTGCTTTTGAAATGATCATGACTTGAATCCAACGCTAAAAATATTTTGTGCTGTGTGCAAGGAATATCAACAAGACACTGCCAGGCGTTTGTGGATTTGCCACAGAGCTAGAAAGATAGGCTGCCTTCTCTGCATTCCTTCTCCAGGCTCCAAGATAATAAAAATCAGATATTTTTGCAGAGTATTAAGTAAAAGCTGCTGGGTGTCATTGTGCAAAGGCAACATTACATTTGAGTTCATGGGAAGATTTGCTTTCATCTCCCCTAGGAAAAACTCATCACAATTTGGAATTGGTGAAAGCATCCCCTTTCTTCTTCTGCCCAGTGCCGAGCGGGTCACCCTTGGCCACCCGGCGCCCGCACCGCTGTCGGGGCCGCAGGGCTCAGCCGCGCCGTGCGCGTCCACCTTCCCACGCCACCACTCACTTCACCTGCGCCACGAGGAAGCTGGACTCCCGCATGCTCTCGTAGTACTCGATGGCCAGCGCAAAGTCAAACTCGTTGATGGCCGGCCCGTCGATGGCGATTTTCATGAGGTCGGACAGCCCCTCGTCCCTGGTGCAGCGCGACCGCCCGCGCTTCAGGAGCTCCCGGCCCCGGCTGATCTTCTCGGCCAGCACGGAGCCCAGCGGCAAGGCCAGAGCGATGGCCGCGAGGACGGCAAAGTCCGGGAAGAGCTCGTGCATCTCGGAGTTGCTGTAAACCAGCTTGACACAGAGGTCCTTGAAGGACAGCTGGCTGAGGCTGAACACGATGCGCTTGAAGAGGGGGAAGTCGCTGAGAGCCCTCTCGCTCACCACCACCCGCGAGTATGCCTGCAAAAGGAAGTTCAGCTCGCTCACCCCATAGCTGCCAATGTCCTCCAGAGACTGAGGGTAGCACTTGGGGTTAAAGATAGCCGAGAAGGAGCTGATGGCCTCCAGGACGCTGCTGGGGAACCTGTCCAGCAGGTTGCCCCGCACGCTCTCCAGGTAGCTCTCCTTCAGGTGCTCAAAGTGTTTCAGGTGCACCTTGGAGCAGTTGGCCAGCTCCACACCCTTATAGTAGAGCCGGCTCTCACCCTCCCGGTCGTCCCGCGGGTGCTCGTTCATCTCGTTGAGGAACTCCTGCAGGTTTTGTCCACTGGCACTCTTCTGGGCTTGCAGGGTAGTGGCCGTCGTGGAGACAATGGGCTTGAGGATGGAGAGGTCGAAGTCCTCAATCTGGAAGAAGCGGCTGAGTTTCTGGAAGATGGGGAGGACGTCCAGGAGAATCTTGGTGAAGGCCACGAACTGAAACTTCTTGAGCTCTTCGCAGAGGCCTAGTGCCACAGGCGACCGCTCCGCCTCGCTCTCCAGCAGCAGCACCAGCGTGGGCCATGAGGAGTCGATGGCTTCCACAGCTGGGAAAATAGAAGTCCAGTGGATGGCCCTGGGGCTTTCGAGGTCTATCTCGCAGAGGTCCAGGACGCTCCGCAGCTCCTGCAGGCTGTTGCTTTCCCCTTTGAAGCGGGAGTAGAGCCTGTACACGGCATCCACAGTAGTCTCGTACTTCTGGAGGTATTCGACGGTGACGACGCTCTCGGCTGGCAGCAGGGAGCTCCCGTGGGACAGGCAGTGCATCTCCGTGAGGAGCGGGCAGAGAGACATCAGCGCAGTCCCCACCCCGCTCAGCCGCTCAGCCACCAGAGAGGCGCTGTCAGCACTGAGCCAGGTGATCTTCATGGTGGGGATGCCGAAGGAGCGCATCACCTCGCTCACCTTGCCTGTCACCGTGGAGGCCTCGCCGGCAGGCAGCTCAAAGCTCCCCAGGAAGGTGGCCGAGGTCTGCCCGTTGCAGGGGGAGACGGTGGTGGTGAACATGGCCAGGTTACGGTGCTCCATGACGTCCACCGTCTCGTCCACCACCAGCCCAATGAACGGCGAGGCTTTTATCCTGTGCCTGTCCTCGTTGTGTAGGACTTTGGCGATCGCTGCCTGGGCCAGTTAGAGAAGGTGGGCAGGGCAGGCAGGGGGG